GTTACTTCACACCTTGTTTTGTGATCCTCGACATCCCAGTCACAAAACCTGAAGGGCACACTCGAGATTCAAACATGCCATTGAACAGTTCAATGAATCTCAAAAGATCTAGGAGTTTCAAATCCAAGTAAAACCTAAATAAATTATTTCGTTTTCATGGTGGAAATTGGTGAATCGTCATTCACCTACCTTCAAATATTTTATAGCTTGGATTACGACATCCCTCTTTCAAGTTATAAAATATTGTGTTGGGTCCTAGCCTTAATATTTCATATTGGGTGTTATATTAAGGACTTTAGATCAACTATCTTGAATATCTCCCAAAAGATGTCTAGCTCAGACATCTATGATTTTCCCAAATCTCTTGGAACTTTACTTCCTCCACCTCCTCCAATTATTCTCCCTAACCCACAAGTTCAAGGTCACTCAAGCCCTAATGGCAAGCAAAATCTATGTGTGATCACTTCTTGGAGATAAACTCACATATTGACAAGCCGGGAGAGTTGGGTGTCAAAGCCTTAAGAAAGTTGGATGCTCAATCACTTTCTAAGTCACATAGTGAGTTCCTTTGGGACTCCTATGAAACAGACTATGACATGACCCTTAAAGATCTTATCTATTTGCTTGGTTCTGCTGAATCAGCAATGATTTGGAACGCTAGTAAAGCAAATTTGATTAGAAGATCAACCTCCCAAACTTCCATGGACTCTGAAAATGGTAACATTGGATATCCATAAAAGCCTTCTCATCCCAAAGAGAGGGTTTGACCATAGTCAACTAGGTTGACCAAATGGTAAAGAGAAAGGTTAAGTCTACGATAGTCCTATGTACCATTCCCAGTGAGTCCATATGTTTCTCTTGCCAAAGGAAGGGGCATTGATTGTGAAGCTGCCTATTTACCTGAAACATCATAAGGTTGATCAAATCAAGAAGTTTGACTCTGCTTCAGGTAAAGTCCACTATCTAACTCTGTTAAGTTTCTATTCTGAGATTCTTACATGATGTGACTGGGTCACATGTTGATGTTTTAAGAATCAAAGAAAAGTGAAGAAACTTAAAGGAAGTATATGCTGATTCTGATCGCGAAGATGGATTTCAATCGCATGGTTCGGTGATCAGAATTTTTGAGCTACTGCTTAAGAGTTGTGATAGATTGCTTAGGAATAGATAACAACATAGTTTTCATATGCATTTGCATTGTAAGGATAAGTTTTTCCGCAAGTTTTAAATAAAAAAGTTTTGTTTTATTTATTTTATATGTATCCTTATAGTGGAATTTGTGGAAAATTGTTGTTTATATGATTCCATTGATAGTAACATCGGAATATGAAATTGATTCTTTCATTTGTGGTAGTGTCTAAATTTATCAAATAAGGAAAGATTCTCATCATCCAAGTTCTCAATTGGACCGAAACTTGGAATCATGCAAGTTGTATAGTATGATGAATGAGAACTTTCAGCTTTGGAAAAATTAAGACTAATTCCTTGTTCACATGTATATGTGAGTCAAGTAAAGGACTAAAGGGATCGAGTACACATTCTTGTGCACTGGTCATGTCCACCACAAAGATCGATAAGAATATTCGTCATGATTTACTAAAGTTTAGTAAATATGGTTATACTTGTAAGTTTAAGTATAATTCTGAAGCATTGGAAAAGTCTCAATGTATGGCAGAACGAATGAAAAATCAATTAGGCAGAAAGATAAAAGTTTCTCAAATCTGAAAAGATGGGAGAGTACTTTAGTATCATGTTTTGTGATCATCTTAATGATTAAAGAACCACATCACAATTGTTCTTCTAAGGACATCTTAGTGCATTCTTATGACTAAGAAGAGGAGTCATGAATTGTTGAAATGGTTAAATCAAGAAGACGAGTCATACTTCGTTTCAAAACAACTCTTAGAGTGATACTCCAAGACTATAAGTTGAGTGACATATCTTAAAGAAATGTTTAAAACACTTGTCAAATGTAAGAGTAAAAGTGACCTACTCTTGCACATTTGAAATTGGTAAGTTCTGATGTTTTGGGTTAAACAAAGACCAACTTGGGCCAAGTGTGTGAAGTGTTTGTCTTGATAAAGAAGCTGCATTATCTCTTGAATATTTGGCAAGATAGTCTTATATGTCAAGAGGACAGTGGGAGTCTTAGAGATTCTGAAAGCTTCAAGGTCTAATCAAGAATAATAACTTGTAGTTTAACACTAGCACACGACGTGAGGTTTATAACCTATCGTGTTGACATATTTCTATTTCTGTGCCCATTACAGTTAAAGTTGGCTTTGCATATGAGTTCTTAGAGTTCTCAATTGGTTGCATAACAACTTGGAAGCAATGGCAGGCCCTTGAGCTGCCAGGTGACAAGAAATTCAGATTGAGTTCAGTCCATATGAGTTTGGATTTGTCATTAACCGTGTCTTGTGATTATGGTTTTGACAGATTCACATGGATAAGAACACATACACTATAAAATCTAAGGGTCATAAGGTTTCTCTCCGATTCATGAAAATGATGGTGAGGAAACACTTCCACCAAGTAGATTTGAAGCAGATGGCAAAAGGTCTAAACAATTGAGACTATGATTACGACATCCCTTTTCATAGTTCTGAAATTGTTTAGACACACATGCATGCTATCTAAGGAAAGGTGTATGAGTTTGATAAAAGTTTTTTTTATCAAAGCATCTCGTATCAGAAGTCTGAACTTTGGTAAGGAAGTCAATAAAGTATTGATTTCTAGAAGTCCAGCTGATTTCTGAATACATGTCAAAGCTAGTGGGAGCATAAGTGTTATGCTAATAATCATCATGTTAGTGGGAGCATGATAATTATGATAAGTATTGCAAGTTAGCAATGTTAATCATCATGTTAGTGGGAGCATGATAATTATGATAAGTATCGAAAATCGGGAAACAACAAATGGACAGAGAGAATGATTTACAATCCATGTCTCAGTCCATATGATATCTAGAATGGAGGAATATATGATCCCTTATCTAATGGACAAGTCATTGACAAAGGTCAGAGTTCATCGGCAAGGTCAGAGTTCGACAGAAGCTTTTGAGAGCTACGATTGCTAGTCAGGGTTTGAAGTCATACTCAATAATAGTTTTAGACTTATCCAAGTGGGAGACTGTTGGATTAATGTCTAAGTCCATAACTATAATTGGTAAGACTTGACCCGACCCGACATGGTCCATTTGAGTTGCATGGCATCATGCATTTGGATAGACTATAATGAGAGAAATAACACTTAAGGTTGGTTAATATATTATAAGTTCTAATATATTAATAAGATTATTTAATTAGTATTGATCAAGAATTAATCTAGTATTAATTAAGTGATCAAAAGAAGACTAATTAAATATATGGGTTGATTGTGTAAATCATCCATACTTATATAGTGGGCTAATGCTCCATGGAGTGTTAATTTGGGCTAAAACCTATAAGATGCTCCATGGTGTATTTGTACCCATGGATCATGGAAATGAAAGGCCATGACAATTAGGGTTTACATGGTGTAACCCTAACTATATAATGATCTTATTCTTGGAGAAAATCGGCGACTATGTGTGATAGAAAGGGCTAGCCGATTTGATGAAGTGTTCCAATTCTCTCAAGTTATTCCAAGTGTATTTGGTGTTGTGTGAACCATTTGAGGTGTCACACTTGGGGCACTAGACACTCAAGCTTCATGAAGTCATTCTACATCAAAGATGTATGTAATTCTAACTTGATATATTCATATGAATCAATGTTATTATGCTAGTTAGGATAAATACTTTGGAAAGTTCATATTTGCATGTATAATAGAGAAAACATAGATCCAAGGTATTTAGGGTTGCATGTACACTTAGGAGTGTTAGAATGCTCAAAACCCAACACTAACTTGATTTACTTCCAAAATTTTTGTAAATTACACATTTATCTTCTCTTACATAATTTTCATTTTCATCTACAATATATATAAGCTAATAGGTGTTCGGCAAAAAGATGTGATATAAGAGAAAGATAATGGTGAAATTTCGAATATCTTGAAAGTAAATCAAGTTAAAGTTAAGTTTAAGAACATTATAATGAATATATCAAACAAAATGGCGTATTATGACGTGTTTGGGTACCTAAGTTTATATACCCTTAAGGGTATACTCACTTTTCCCTATATATATATATATATTATATATATATATATATATATATATATATATATATATCTATATATATATATATATATAGGCTTAGGTTATTTTGTTTAGAGTATCTATTGTGTTATTGTATGCATAAATGTGGGCCAATCAAATTTACTTATTTATAGAAAGTAATTTATATATATTATTGAATTAAATATAATTGAAAAATATCATCTTAATTAATTACAAGGGTAATTTAGTCAATTAATATAGATTTATTAAAGGAAAATTGCATTTTTTAAGGGATCATAGATTTTATTAATTTTAAAAATCCGATTTTACGAATTATAATTCTTTTAATTCGTACATTCTAACAGAATATGTTTATGAGTATATTTCAAAATAAAAATATTCTTAGACCATAAATAATAAAAATATTCTTGAACTTATTTCTTGATCATGACTTTAACAACTTCTTGTAGAATAACAAATTTTTGAACAATCAATTGAAGAATAAAAACAAAAAATACTTAATTTCTTATAGAATACGGGTAACAATTGTTAAGAATTACATGAGAATGTTACACTTATTAATAACAAAAAAAACACAATTATAAATCATTCTACCAGAATATACTATTACATATATTTTTTTCAATACATTCTATATTATTATGGTAGAATAATCCATTCTTTTTGGAAGATTGGTGGTCATTGTTCATCTTCATCCCATACAATGTTTATCTTCAAGATTATATTCTGACAGAATCAGAATTCAAGATTCCATTCCAGTAGAATTGGAATTAGTGATTCTATACCGATAGAACTGCAATCATAGAAAATACACAAATCACAAAGGAAATATCGAGATTTAATTCCCACAGAATCGGAATTCGCCACCATCTGTAGCAGTGCAAATATGATTAAGTTCTTCCAAATTGCTCTTTACTCGATTCCTCTGAAATTAAACAACAGCAAGTAATAAGATTTGAAACTAAAAAGATCTAAGCATTACCAAAAACGTATAAGGATATTGTATCCTGAAAGCAATAATCTAAGAAAAGAATATGACACTTTACGACAAATAAATTACTTCTCTCAGACAAATCGTCAAACACCTGGTGCTCACACACCTATACATCAAATTAATAACTGTACCACCATTCAAAAGCTTGTAATTTACTTGTCTTGAACAAATCAATAACTTATATAGAAACACACCTGTTGAAATTGGAATTCACCAAGAGAATATATCAATTACAAAAAAATTACCTGGAACATAAATCAATTTCTAAAAAACTGATTCCAGGAACAATCAATCTCATAACAAGTTTGCAGGATATAATCGAGATTCAACAAGAATTCAACAAGAAAAAAAAAACAAAAAAAAGGTGAAGCAACTATAAGCGGAAAAAGAAACATACGTGATGAAGGGCGGTTGATCCCCCACCTGCTCTCCGATCTGCCTTCGATCCATTCTTCTTCCCCTTGATTGGACCGCCGATGATGAACAATGAACCAAAGAGGAGCTCATCGTTGTGTCTACTAAGCTGTTTTGGGGAGGTCCGGGACCCAACGACAAGGGTTTATCCAGGAAACATATCATCGAGGGGACTAAAGCTTCTTTGAAAAGACTGGATATGGAGTATGTCGATCTGATTTATTGTCATCGACCGGATTTGCAAACGCCGATTGAGGAAACAGTTAGGGCTATGAATCATGTGATCGATAAAGGTTGGGCGTTTTATTGGGGAACTAGTGAGTGGTCTGCGCAACAGATTACATAGGCTTGGGGGATTGCGAATCGGATTCACTCAAGATCGATTTTGTAGTCCATTCTAATTTTGCAAATCGGGAACGAGATTTAAATTGGAGACATTAGGTCAATACCATGATTATAGGGATTAATTTTGGAAGTTACTAAACAAATTACTAAATTACCCTTATTTATTTAATTAATTATTTAATTTTTTGTTTAATTTTGATTGGCCCACATTTATGTATACAATAACACAATACTTACTTTAAACAAATGAACCTAGCTCTCTCTCTCTCTCTATATATATATATATATATATATATATATATATATATATATATATATATATATATAAGAAGTAGTTTCTAATTTTTAGACAAAATTACATAAATAGTTCATGTGGTTTACCAAAGGTCATAACTTTAGTCCATGTTAACTTGTACGAATGGTCCATATGGCTTCTGATCAGCTATGAAATCAACAATACGAATGAAGACATGATGAATAGTAAGAACATAACAAGTAAATAATTCTGTTTAGCTTAATATTTATCAGAAAGGAGGTTAGAGAATAAAAACAAGTGAACGAAAGTGAAATGCGTAAGCGTACAAGAGTGCGTTCATGAACATCTAACCTACAACACTATTTATAGGCAAAATTCATAGTGCTCTCAACCGATCACAAAACATACATATATACTTCGACATTTAAGTACAAACTTAAATGCTACATGAAATAAAAAGATATATCGAAATATTTACAATTTCGATATAAACAACAAAACATGTCTTCGAGATTTCAGTCTTCGACATGAGCTACACTTTAAAGATACTTTCGACGTTGAAGTTTTTTCATAATAAACTATACTCAACACCCCCCCCCCCCCTTTGTGAAAAATAACTAGGATCTTTAAACTGCAGACAAAGACTTCACATCATCAAGAAGTGTCTTCCTTGTATCCAAATACCAGACAATAATCTTTTTTTATCCCCCTTTAATCTTCTTTAGAATTTTTCTTGCAACTAACAATTCTCACCAAAAATTATTTACATTTTCAGTCGAAAACTTCTCTTTGAAATCTGTATAGAACATATATTTCTTCTGGCCACCTTTTTGCCTCTTCCACAAAATACAATCTCCCTTGGGCTTCATAAAAATTTCACCATCTTCATAATCTTTGATATCATCCATTCCTGTGTTTGGCTTTTTGGATGGTTTATTGAAAGCTTTGGCAAACTCGAAATCAGACAAACCCAAATAAGCAAAATAGCAATCAATAAAGTTCTTTATGTGAGCATAACCAATCACATAAGCTTCCTTGCCTGTCACTTGTGTATTGTCAATCTTTTTAATAACTATTGTCACAATAATGAGATCATTACGATTCATTAAAGGAAAATCAGCAATTGTGAACTTACATGCCTCACCTCCAGCTTGAATAACCTTGTATCGACAATTTTAAAGTAAATTTTTAAACAATACATCCTTTGATATTGAAATCAATTTCACACTTTTCTTCAAAGACCATACTTTATCTTCATTCTTTACAAGAACAACATGAAACCGAATTTTGATACTTTTATAAGCATCTTGATCTTGAAGGTCATTAGGAAACTTGTATTGAGGAATCACCAAATGCTATATCTTCAATTGTCTCATAATTCCAAGTCTTGTTGATATCACCTTTATATAAATAGTATGATCATTTTCTCTTCTTCTTAAGAAACTATTAAACTGTTTGAGTTTGTATGCTTCTTTTTCCTGTAATCTTTACCTTTCTTCTTTCGATATCTCCTCAAATTTACCTTTTCCTTTGTCTGCAACATTTGTAGGTATGACAGTCGAAGCAGTAACTGACTTAATGATAATACCTTTATTTGATTGTAATTTGCTCATGTCAACTTGAATGAGTTGTGTTACAACAGAACTTGTAGTAATAGTTGTTGCCATTGTTTGAATTAGAATAGTTAAAGTTGGAAGGGTCAAAGAAAATATTTTTCCAATAGTACGAACATTACCCATACCAAATCCCAAACCAAATGAATTCCATTTTTCTCCCCATTGTGACATTTAATGTGAAGCAACACTTAGACCATTTGTTGGAAGTCTGGCAACCATATTATGAATAGGAGCTAATTGGGATTTGAAAGTTTGTTCAACAGACGATAGAGCCTTAGACACATGTTCTTGAACAGTTGTAGAAGAAGAGTGAGTTTGGAGCAAAGATACAACTTGTGTCTCGAGAGCACTAAATTTGACTTATAAATCACCCAGCACAACTTCAAATTGCTCTTCTTTCTTTTCCAAATTTGCTTTGTTTTCGACATTAAATGCATGTGTATCTTCCAATAGAGTCTTAACATCAAAAATGAGTTTGTCAACAATTGTTTGAACACCAGATGATAACTTTTCAATAGATTTAACATCAACACTCATTGCATCACCAACAATTTGTATTTTCAATGATATCGACCCCTTGAGATCATCTAAAGCTTTAACAAAACTTTATTGACGCTCTTTTGCCACATTCTGTTGTTCATCATACTTAAATGAAAAATATTTAAGCGCATCATTTAGTCTCCCATTTATTTCAACAATAGTTGTTTGAAAAAGTTTATTGATTTTGCTTTCATGACTGGAAAGCAAGAATTTGAATTCTTTCTTGGTAATAGCAGATGTTGTGTGATAAGCACTGAAGGAATCACAAATAAAGTCAAGAAACATATTTAGCTCGGAGTTTAAAATCTTGAATTACCTGCCATACATGATTTCATCTTCGAGGTTTTCATCATCTGTGTTGAAATGAAATTGACCAAAGTCGAATCCATTATCAATTGCTTCATTATTTTAAATCAATGATTGATCTTCAATGATATCAATTTAAGGATTTGTAAATTGAGATGAAAACAAGTTCATCAAAGGTTGCTGAAGAATTCCATGAAAGATTGGAGAATTATAGGGAAATGTAACAGTAGGAATAGTGGATACAGGTGGAGGTGATGTAGGAGGTGGAAGAAATAGATGTCTCACTAGGAGGAACAACACCGATATTGACATTTGAGTCCACATTAGATGTATGCTTAGGGATGTATGGATGACTAATCTCCTCCGTATTGGATTCAACATTAGCCACCCTTGGTGGTGTAGTTGTTTCAATATTGGTGGGATGAAAGATGTCATTATAGATTGTGATTTTGATGGTGGAGTCGAAATATAAGTTCCATCAGTCATGATATATGAGTACACATTAGATGTGTTCTTAGGGATATCCAAATTACGTGTCTCCTCTGCATTAGATTCGACATGGGTAATCCTTCATGGTGAAACAATATTAATAACAGAAGGATTCGACACATGTACCTCAAGAATAGGTTGTTCAACATTATTTGCATCAGTCTCCACACTATGATTTGGCGATTGATAGTAAATATCGAGATATGTATTTGTTTCCTCCTCCTCATCATCATCATTGTTTGGCTCAACAACCATCTTTTAAGTCGTCTTGGCAAAGGTTTCAACTTCTTCTTCTTGCATAAGAAAGTTTGCAACACATTATCGTTCCTTTTCTTATGTGGTGGTTCATTCACAATAGTTTCACGAATAACAACTCCTTTTGATCTTTTATTTGAAGGAGACTTTGGAATTTGAACATATTGGTGCTTTTTCTTTCCAATTTCGTGCGAAATACCAACAACGTCTTCAATATAACGAACATGATAAGGAATTGTAATCGAAGTTGTATATGCTAGCAATATAGGACCGGGCCTCGAAACAACTTGCAACATAGTCTCGAGAATTTGATAAATATAAGGAAATTCCGTTTGATTGATCATTACTTTTGGGATATGGAGTGTCGAAAAGGTGGCAACCTCTGCATCTCCATAAATCACAATACCAGCTTGTTCATAAGCTTTGGCTAAGATTAGACTCCAAAATCAAGCACTAGCAATCTTAGTTGCTTTCTACGTATGATTGATGTAAGTGGTAAATTCCTCCCATAAAATTGAAACACAATCCACTTTAATATTGTTGTAAATCCCATATAAAACCAAGTATAATCGTTAATTGACTTTATTCAATCAAGAGTTACGACCAGTAAGACACCTCAAGATAACCACAAAGAAAAAATATTCCACATGAAAGGAAGATTGGATTTCTTAAAATCACTTATGAGCTTGATAATCGACGTATAACCCATTTCATTCAACATTGTCAATACATGATCAGTGGATGGAGTTTCAAACTTTGAATCAAATTCTAAGTGAAGAATTTTAGCAAATGCTTTCTTCATCAAATTTTTCTTTCCTTTTTGCTCAATTTCAAAAGTAATTAGATCACGCGACCTGTTGTAACCAACAGAAGAACAAGCAATAGAAAACCAATTCATCAGAATTGTAGATGATGCTGTCAGAGCATAGTAAAGAATTGGATCGTTCAAACATTGAACCAACATTTGAAGACCTTATGGATACAATGTAACATCGGAATTGAACATCAGATTGTTGGATGGATCTTTAATTGAGGAGCATAGGTTTCCTGATCAACAGTTGATAACATAGCAACACGAGCCATTGGAGATAGATTGAAGGAAATTTCAGAAGAAGACATGAGAATTTGGGTTCTTTTGAGAGAATGACTTTCGAAGAAGAAGAGTAAATAGGTGAATTAACTGTCGTTTGTCAATTTAAATGATGAAATTGAACATATCGTATGTAACACCCACATTTTTTTGTTAAACATTACGTCGAAAAATCGTTATTTACGTTAGTTAATAATGTAAATTTTCTTATAAATAAATAAATAAAGATTTTTCTTACATGATGTGTGTTTATATAAATGTTATTTGTATATAAATAATATTTAAGTTACTTTTATAAAAGAATAAATAATCTATATGAAAGTTGTAGTAGTCGTGAATACGAACCCGTGAGTATAAAGACCAACAAAATCTAACGTCGTATGAAAAAATTATGAATTACGCAAGATCATTTAACTATACATTCTTTATAAAATGAAAAGAGATTATTTTTAGCCAAAATAAATGGAAAGAAATGAGAAAAAAACAGTGTTTCTTAATTTTTTTATTGGAAAAAAAATGTAAATAAGAGAAAAGATGATTATCAATAATTTTTCTTCTTAACTTTCTTCCTAAAATAATTGGATTTGGAGAAAAAGTAATACACTAAAATATTAAGCTTTCTTTTTTACGACTTTACATTTTAACATCACATAAAAAAAGTTATGTAACCTAATAATATAATAACTACTTGTGCTACCTACATTGTGCATCATCAAACAAATCTATTCCCCATCATTCTTTTGGAACTTTAAAACACAAAAATAAAATATATATTTTCATTCTTTTCACTTTGTTTTCTCACCTTGTGTTATTCCTCTCATTTCTTTGTTTATTAAACTCGGTATATAATGGTGTAAGAGTATATTTAACAACGCTTGGGGGTTATTTTAAACAATTGACCGTCTAAAGTCTAAGGGGTGTTTGGGATAGCTTTTAGAATGACTTTTAACTTTTAACTTTTTCAAAAAGTCAAAAAGATGTTTGGGTAATAAAAAAGTTCTTTTTAAAATGACTTTCTGCATAGAGTAAAATGAGGGGGTTCAAAAAGTCACAAAAACCTGACTTTTTGTGATTTTTTATGATTTTACATGTAAAAGTTAAGCTAAAAGTCCTTTTGCTAATCCAAACACTTTTTAAAGAGCTTCTTTTACAAAAAGCCCTTCTACAAAAAGGACTTTTGATGTTTAAAAGCAATCCCAAACACCCCTTAAACCCCTACTCCTCTCTATAACCTGTACCTGCAATTTGCAAAGGGTTATTTCCATAAAAGACCCTATATTTTGATTTTTTTTCTTTTAGACCTAAAATTTTTTTCTTTTCCGAAAAAGACCCAACTTTTTATATGTTACTTGTTATTTCAGACCCTAGCAGGTCACCAATAGGTAAATTAGATATTTTTGTTTCATAAAAGACCCTATATTTTGTAGTTGTTTCCATTTTAGACCTAAAATGTTTTTTTTTTTCAAAATAAACTCAACTTTAAAATTGGTTATAATCTTCAAGACCAAATATATAAGGTACTTCTTGACTACACCGAAAAAGAAAGTATATACATGTATACACTAAAAAGTGTTATCAAATCTATTATATTTTGAGCGAATATAACCTAAAAGAAATGCAAAATTTTATTTTTGTCTAAAAGATATAATTAAATTTTATCTTGGATATATATTATATCATTAAACTTGATATTTTGTTTATAGAAAATGTTATTATTACCGCTAATAAAAAGTTTAATGTTAGTTTGATATTTTTTGGTAACATGGATAATACATGGCTAAGAAGAATCTTTTAGCATAATAACAATTTTTTTTTATTTGTAGAAAAAAAAAATACCATATCATTTAACAAACTGTATACAAAAAGTTTGATGTTAGTTTGGACATATTTCCCTCTCTCACTTTTCTATATTATTTTTTTGGCCGAATTTTTTAATTAATTTTTTTAGAACAGTTAACAAACGCACTCACTATCATACTCCTAAACCAAAGCCATAAAATATTTTGTAGCATTAGCCAATTATTAAATAATATGTTATAATTATATCAAATAAATACATACAAATATTAATCATAAACATTCGTATTAGTTTTGTTTAGATATATGAGATTCAAGTTTAAGACTTCCTTAAAAAATGTTAACATCACATATGAATACATAAAACTATATTTTGGGAATGAAACCATTTGAGCATAAGTTGAAATCCAAATAACAAGAATGATACCGCACACTTAAATATCAAAATACAATGGTTGACATTATTAACAATGGTTGGAATGTGGTGAATGAGCAAAACGGACAAAACTATGAATTTTGTTGTAGAGAAAAGAAAATTGAATAGTTGACCTACTACCTCATTTTATTAATCTATCTTATGTATGCATTGTGTTTAGATCAATACATGGTGTTTGTATATCACTGTTATTGATTCTCAAGGATAATCATAATAATTACCAAAATAAAATTTAGGATTTTATTTTAATTTGAAAGGATATAATCACGTTTTTATGCATGAACGAAGTTAAGCTTCATTAAATCGGTGTAGTTAAGTATCTTATACAACTAGTGTTAAAGGTTGTAACCAATTTTAAAGTTGAGTTTATTTTGAAATAAAAAAAATCATTTTAGGTCTAAACTGGAAAAAAGTACAAAATTTAGGGTTTTTTATGAAATGAAAATACTTAATTTCTCTTTTGGTAACCTGCTACGGTCTAAAATAACAAGTAATAGGTAAAAGTTGGGTCTTTTTCGAAAAACAAAAAGTTTTAGGTTTAAAATGAAAAAAAATCAAAATATACGATCTTTGGAAATAACCCATTTGCAAACCGTGAAAAACCCTCAGCCCTCTCTCAGCTTCCTGCCTCTCTGTGCGCCTCCGCCTTCTCCATCCTCACCACTCTTCCGCCCTCATCAGTCGCCCCTCACCCTTGCTCCGCCCTTACTGCTCCCTGGTGTTGTCTACCGCCGTAAAGTTAGAAAGAGGTATTTTTTTCAACTTTTAATTTGGAAATCTATCATCCCTACTGCTATTTCGGCGGCTGCGCTTCTCGCTGGTGCTCCTGGCATCATGTAAATGACACCTCCTCTTTTTTTCATCTGTGTATGTTCCTTACTTCTTACTTTTTCCTTACTCCCTACTCAGGTAGGAGCAAAGCATCGGTCTGGTGTACAGGGGAATCCCCTCTTCCCTATCTTTTGGAACATATACCTGTTTTCGATTTGTGTTGAAGCTGTTCAGTTGTAAAAGATGGCTCAGACCACCGAGGTATAATAAATCAGTAACTCATTTAGCTTTCTTATTGACAATCAGTTTTGCATAGTTTCATGTGTTTCTCTTTGTTGCTGAATATAGTTTTCATTGATTTACCATATTATATATAAAAATTCTTGTGCATATGCATACTTTTATGAAGTGTGCTAGGCATAGTTGGTGCATAATGTTATTGTATATGAGATAGCAAGTGTAACTGGTACAAACTCTATAGTAAAGTACCATGGATAGAATGATGAGCTTAAATTTGCAATTAGCATAGAGTGTTAGACAAACAAGAAATTTTCAGATTCTTTATGCACCTCTGATTACAAGCGTATTGTTGCAGGGTGCGTCTGAGATTGTGGAGGGTGTAAGGTTCAGTTTCATGACTGATGAAGAGGTCAGGAAGCACAGTGTTTTAAAGATTACAAACCCTATTTTACTTGACAGTGTTGGAAGACCAATGCCAGGAGGATTGTATGATCCTTTGTTGGGCCCAATGGATGAACAAGCACCATGTAAGTCATGTGGGCAGCAGTCATTTCAATGCCCAGGGCATTGTGGTCACATTGATCTTGTTTCACCAGTATACAATCCATTGCTTTTTGATATGCTTTTCACTCTTATAAGAAAAACATGCTTCTTTTGTCGCCATTTTAGAGCAGGAAAAGAAGAGGTAAGATCATCAATTTGTAACATTCTTCTTCAATTTTGTTCCTGTATCTTATTGTCCTCATGTTGCATAGTTTCCTATTCTTTAGGTCAATGTTTGTACGTCTAAACTAATGAAGATAGCAAAAGGTGATGTTTCTGGGGCTAAAGATTATGTCATCAACAATTCAGATGCCAAAGACATTGATCTAGAGGACAATGATTTTAGGCATGGTTCAAGTTCCACATTACATTCTGGTTCACAAAGTGAAAGCCCTGAACAAACACAACATGATTTTTGGACATCTGTTCAATATATAGAAGCAAGGAATCTTTTGAAAGAATTTTTGGCTAACCCTAGCAAGTCTTGTAAAAATTGTGAAGCTAAAAACCCAAAGATCAGTAAACCTACATTTGGATCGTTCCGTATGGTTAGTTTTACTTCTCTTTCATGCCCTTACAAGTCATTTTGCATATTTTTCTTTAGTTAATGTTATGTAAATGAATGTTTTTTAGGAAATGACTGTTGCTGATGCGGAAAAGAACTATATGAAAGGTTATAAATTGGGAAGTATACAAGATGAGGAGTTAGAAGATGGGGAAGATGACAAGACTTCTGAGGTTATAAATGTCAATGAACTATCAGAAGATGAAAGAGTTGACACTGCTGGAACCAATTCATTTTCACCATCTTCATCTAACAAAAAGAAAATAAAGAAGAAAAAGTCAAAAGTGCCCTCTGACTTCAAAGAGCTGAAGAACAACTACACAGGCACTCTTTTACCATCTAGGGTACAAACCAAGACATAGTAATCTACAATCAAGATCTATGCCATACTAGATTCTAATTTCTTTATCAATTACAATTTCAGGTCATAAGTATAGTGAAAGATTTGTGGGAAAATGAAGCTGATCTTTGTGCATATCTATGCAATATTCAGCAAGAAAGGCTGACTGGATCTTTTAAAACTACTGGTTACACCATGTTCTTTTTAGAGGCCTTACTTGTTCCCCCTACAAAATTTCGTCCTGCTGCCAAAGCAGGTGATGCTGTAAGTATAACTTTTCTTATAAAGATATGCTACTTTAATGCTATTCTTTTTTAGTTTTTTATTTAAATACATGATTGGTGAAATACAGGTGATGGAGAATCCACAAACAGTGTTACTAGGAAAGGTGCTACAGTCAAATATATCATTGGGAAATGCTCATATCAACAAACTTGAAGGTTCCAAGATTGCTGATCGTTGGCGGGACCTACAACAGTCTGTAAATGTTCTATTTGACAGCAAAACTGCCACAAGTGAGTCTTTTTCTTTATCTTTTTATCTTGTTTCTTTGATATATTGACTAAAGTTGCATCTTTTTTATTTTTTTGTGGAAGATCCAAATCTGAAAAATGCGAATACTGGGATATGCCAGTTGCTTGAGAAGAAAGAGGGAATCTTTCGCCAAAAAATGATGGGCAAAAGAGTCAATTATGCATGTCGATCTGTCATTTCACCTGATCCTTATTTAGCTGTTAATGAAATCGGTGTTCCTCCTTATTTTGCCTTAAGGTTGACCTACCCCGAGGTAATTTTATTTTTACTCATGCACATAATATATTTATTACATCTTCATTAAAGATAACATTTTTTGATTAAATTGTTTTCAGAGAGTGACTCCTTGGAACGTTGTGAAACTAAGAGATTCCATTATTAATGGTTCTGATATTCATCCTGGAGCTACTCATTATGCTGATAAGGTGTGTTGATAGGATTCAATGATGACTAATTTTTTAATATAATCAATTAAAGAATTTCAATCTAATCTGGGGTCAACAGGTGTCAACTGTGAGACTACCTCAAAGCAAAAAGATGCGTATTTCTATATCTAGAAAGTTACCTTCTTCTAGAGGCACAGCTATACAATCCAAAAACAGCAGTGACTATGATTTTGAGGGTAAAATCGTCTATCGCCATTTACAAGATGGAGATATTGTCCTTGTGAATCGTCAGCCTACACTTCACAAGCCCAGTATTATGGCACATGTAGTTCGAGTATTAAAAGGGGAGAAAACTCTTCGTATGCATTATGCAAATTGCAGGTTAGAATCTTGTAATCCAGTTCTGTTAGTTATATTATATTATTTTATTGTTTTTAGGTTTCATGGTGTCAATTTTAAATTTCAGTTCTTACAATGCTGATTTTGATGGAGATGAAATGAATGTTCATTTACCACAAGATGAAATCTCACGTTCTGAAGCTTATAACATTGTGAATGCAAACAATCAGTATATAGTTCCAACAAGGGGAGATACTGTTAGAGGCTTAATCCAAGATCATATTGTCAGTTCTGTTCTTCTCACAATGAAAGATACATTTTTAAACCGTGACCAGTTCAATCAACTTCTTTATGCTTCTGGTGTGTTTAATGGAAGTAATGCAAGACATGGTAAAAACTTCATTTACTGATAAAGGCTGCTTTGTGAAGCCTGTTCTTCCGGCTGTCTGGAAGCCAAAGCCTCTTTGGACAGGAAAACAGGTCATAAATTTTATATAATGACTCTATTCACTTTCTCAAACATATGTAAATCTTGAAATTTTTAAATCTTTTTGTTTGTGTTTTGTAGGTGATAACAGCGTTGTTAAATCATCTGACTAGAGGTTATACGCCTTGTATTGTTGATAACAAGGTGAAGATCCCAGAACAGTATTTTCAAGGAAAAGAGGATAAAAATAAAAAAAATAAAAAACGAAAGAAAGAGGTTGTGGAATTGAAAAATGAAATTGATGAAACAAGATTATTGATTTGGAAAAATGAGCTTGTGAGTGGTGTGATAGATAAAGCTCAATTTGGAAAGTATGGTTTGGTTCATACAGTACAAGAGTTATATGGACCAGACATTGCAGGACTTTTACTTGGAGCTTTTAGTCGATTATTCACTAATTATTTACAGGTATTTTATTATTCTATATAACTTATTATTATTATTATTATTATTATTATTATTATTATTATTATTATTATTATTATTATTATTATTCGTATTGGTTATTAATAATCTTATCTAATAATCATTCTACAGTTCCATGGATTTACATGTGGTTTAGATGACCTAATGGTGTCACCAGATTGTGACAAAGAAATGAAGATGGAACTTGAAGGTGAAGATGTAGGTGAAAAAGTTCATAGAAAATTTGTCAACTTGGAAAATCAAAAAACAGGTATATATATATACTTGGACAAATTTTTATAAATCATTAGGGTTTTTGCATTTGTTAATTTGCGAATTTATAGGGACAAGAGAGTTGCAATTGGAAACTGAGAAAATAATAAGAAGCAATGGAGCAACAGCATCTGCAAGTTTAGATAACCTCATGCAAACAGAGCTAAGAGATAAAGGTTCAATGATCAGCAAAAAATGGTTACCAAAAGGACTGATGAAACCCTTCCCACAAAACTGCATTTCTCTCATGACCATCAGTGGTGCCAAGGGTAGTTCGGTAAATTTCCAACAAATATCATTTTTACTCGGTCAACAAGAGTTAGAAGGGAAACGAGTGCCCCGAATGGTTTCCGGGAAGACTTTACCCAGCTTTTCACCTTGGGATTTCACCGCTCGGGCAGGCGGTTATATCATTGACCGGTTTTTGACCGGGCTCCGCCCACAAGAATACTATTTTCACTGCATGGCTGGGCGTGAAGGGTTGGTGGATACAGCTGTCAAAACTTCTAGAAGTGGGTATTTACAAAGGTGTCTTATTAAGAATCTTGAAAGCCTAAAAGTTTCATATGATTACACAGTTCGTGATGCTGATGGATCCATTGTTCAGTTTTATTATGGTGAAGATGGTGTCGATGTGCATCAAACTAGCTTTTTAAATAATGTTCAAGTTCTCAAAGCTAATCAAGAAATCGTCTGCCAAATGTTAAACGAACCACTTGAATTCAATTCTTACATTCAAGAATTACCACAAGGGATTCAAGATAAAGTTAAAAGTTATAAACAGAAGGGTAAAAAAGAGAAAGATGATTTATTGATGTTGGTAAGGCAAAAGTATTTGTCTAGTCTTGCACAGCCTGGCGAACCGGTTGGTGTCATTGCTGGTCAATCTGTTGGTGAACCTTCCACTCAGATGACGTAAGTTTTTCTTTTTTTAAATTATTAATTTTTTAAATTTGTATTTAAGTAAAGTTTGTTGCTATTTATTTTATGCAGATTGAATACTTTTCATCTTGCGGGACGTGGTGAGATGAATGTGACACTTGGTATTCCACGTTTACAGGAGATATTAATGACTGCTGCTGCTAACATCAAGACTCCTATCATAACATGTCCATTGCTTCAAGACAAATCAATGTCAGTTATTATCTTTTTTTTTTTAAATTTCTATAATAAGAATAATGTACTTATGTTTTTTTTTTTTTTTTTACAGGGAAGATGCGGAGAGACTTGTGGAGAAAGTGAAGAAGCTTACTGTTGCAGAACTTATGCAGAGTGTACAAGTCTCAAAGTTACCACTTGTGATACATAATAATCGTCCGTGTAGGATCTATAAGCTTATGGTGAAGCTGAAACAACCGAGACATGTGTCACTACATAACTGTCAGGAAACACTTAGGAATGTTTTTCTAAGGGCATTGGAGGATGCCATTGAAAGACATGTGGTTTTGCTGTCTAGAATTAATGGAATCAAAAGTGTTCGGAGTTCAAAAACGGAACGTTCAGGGGAAGATGATGATGCTTCTGTTGATGATGGTGGTGATCATGATGGTGGTGGTGATGATGGTGATGATGACGATGATGATGACAGAGATGAAACAGCTGATGATCTTGGATCAGAGTATACTAAAAGAAAACGACAAAATACAGATTCAGTTGAATACGAAGATGGTTCTGAAGAGGAAGATGAAGAAGAGGAAGCATCCTCGGATGTTGATGAAAATGGAGGTGCTGACGTGGCGAATGCTGATATGGCAACCGGAACCGATGATGAAACAGAAGAACAAGAACAAGAACCAGAAGAAGAAGAAGGTGATGCAGACAAAGCAAGCTCTAAACCCACTGAAGAATTTGTGGAGAGAAAATTCGATAGGTCAATATTCGTTCAAGTCAAAGACATGAGTCTTGAAGTCCATTTTAGATTCACAAACGAACCAGAGATTTTGCTAGCAGAGGTAAAAACGTAAATTACACAAAAATATTCATATTTAATATTTGAGCTAATTTGTTTGTATTGTATTGCAGGTTGCACAGAAGGCTGCAAAAAAGGTATACATCAAAGGATCTGGAAAACTGGACCAGTGCCAGCCTGTGAAGTACAGTGTAAACGTGAAACAAGTCTGTTGGAATCAAAAACACATGGAGACAGCAAAAGACAAAATGTGTGCATTGCAGGCTTCAGGAGTAGAGCTTCCTGCGTTTTGGGATATGGAAGATGAGCTTGATGTGGACCATGTTTATTCCAACAACATACACACCATGCTCAACACCTATGGAGTTGAAGCTGCAAGAACAGGGATTATTTTGGAGATGAAGAATGTGTTTGGGAGTTATGGGGTGGAGATTGATTACAGGCATTTAAGTCTCATTGCTGATCACATGACTCATTCTGGAGGCTATCGCCCAATGAGTAGATTCGGGAGTATATCGGAATCCGTGTCTCCCTTCTTGAAGATGTCCTTTGAGACTGCGAGTAAGTTTATTGTTGAGGCGGCTTCTCATGGGATGATGGATAATTTGGAGACACCAACGGCTAGGATTTGTCTTGGTTTGCCTGTTAAAGTTGGTACTGGCTCTATGGAGTTGATGCAGAAACTTGATATATAAATTGATTTTTGTAAGGGTATTTTTGGTATTTACCCCCATCACATATACCAAAACAATTTTGAACTAGTCCCCATTGTGTTTTTCAAGTTTGTTGTCATTCATTTCACATGATTTTGGGATTACCATCAATGTTGTAATTGTTTGAAATTATATTAATACAAGTGTTTGCGAAATTCAAACTGTAATGAAATAACAAACATATTAAAAACACAAACTGATTTTTCAACTCTTCTATTTCTTTGATACAGAAACTAAACATGCACAAACAAATACCCAAAGTAAAGTTTTTTTTTTTTTTTTTTCCCACATAAATCTGTTTAATAAGTGTAAAATATATATATATATATATATATATATATATATATATATATATATATATATTTTATAGTTTATACTAGTCACTGCTTTTTATCAAGTTCACCATTGGTGGTCCTTGATGGGGCCACCTTGGAAGGGTTGGAACGTTCTGCCTGAGAGAACTGAATCATGATCTGCATCAAGACTGTAACGACACCCAAACAAACCCCTGTCACCAAAAACCCCTTCCATGAAGAGAAAAGATTAGACCACTGCAAGAATTTCAATGTCCCAAAAACAAGCAAGGATGCCCAACATACAACCACCTGTTCATTCATACATACACAAAACCTATATAAGCATTTGTGATTTACCTTATTTATTTATTTAGTTATTAATTAATATTCTTTTTCTTACCATGAGAGACTTTACAGGGCGCCCGATGTTATGGAGTTCTGAATCAGGGAAGGAATCGTTTGATTTATGCTTGTCTAATAATTCATCCTGGACAAAAGCAAAACATAATAATGACTTAATGTGTTAAGCCAAAATAATAATAATAATAATAAGAAAAAATCTCATAAAGTCTGCACCTTTGCAACAAATAAATCTTTACACCATTGAGCTACAGCTTCATCTGTTTCTGGCAAATCTTTCATCAAATACCTCTTCACTTTCACATGAACCTGCAACAAAGAAAAAAAAAAAATCAAACCATTTACACACCAAATATCAAATTTATTACAGATCTTATTATTTGGAAATTTATTATTAATAATAGTACCACAGAAGGTTGGCCCTTAAAGAGCCTCAACATTGTTGGTGGAGTTGAGGTTTTTGGAATAGCAACAGTCATATCATAGATAGCTGGAACAAACGATCGCATGTGACTTACAGACGTTACAAAACCCTAAAACCAAAAAAAGGAAACAATCAATGAATGAATGAATGACTGAAAGTGGAAAGTGACTTAATATTACCTTTGTTCTTGGAATGAGGACATTTCTAGGTACAGGTAAGCCATTTGAAGATGCATATTCTTGAGCTGCTAAAAGTTTTGCTTGTGTAAATCTTGTTCCCTCCACAAAAAGAGCCAACCAAAAGGGTAGTGGGTAGTCTTTTAATCGTTCAAGACCAAACTGTTGAAACACATTCGGAAAAGCAAAGCATGTTAAATTTTTAGGTTTGACTAAAAAAAGTCAATGAATTAGGGGATACCTTTAGGGTACTTTCATCCTTAGCCCAACTTCTTTCAAGAAAAAGATACTCTGAAAACCACATTGACCAACCTATCACCTGCAGATATATATATATATATATATATATATATATATATATATATATATATATATTCAACCGCGTAATTGTAAATAAACTTAAGCATATAAACAAAACACAAACTTTCTAAATTTGGTCACATTTCGCGATTATAATCCATAAAGTTATAAATATTCGCCTTCCAAATATACCCTTTTTACCTTTTGAATATCAAACCTAATGCTTAATAACTTCAAATTTAACAAGATTTTTTTGTCACAATGCCATCAAAGAAGTCTCTGTTTACAACATTTTTGCACAGTTTACAGTATTTATACAAAATAAACATATTCAAATCAGTGTTAAAGTTCAGAGTAGTTTGTTTTACGAAATCCATAAGGGGGCATTGAAGTGAAATTGAGGAAGTATTATGAGAATACAAAAAAGCGCGTATACAACATTATCATTAATTTAAAAACTTAACATGTTTGTTTCATAAGATTGCAATTTTAAATACTTACAGGAAGGAATTTTGATGACTTTTTCATGACAGCTAACGTGCTACCAAGGCATCCAGATCGCTGTCACAGAACAATCCAATGAACATGAGTAAGTCATGTTTCAAAAATCTTGTAACTTTTTTTTTTTTTTTTTTTTTTAAAGTAATCTTTTAGCCCTATAATGCTGCTTTTAAAAAGTGTATAAGAAAGTAGAGAACACAAAAACAATGAGAATATTTAATAATGAATCACCTGTGCAAACACCCATCCGATAAGCCAATCAATATCACTCTTGTGATTAGCTATAACAAGAGCATGTTCCTTACCTGTAAATATAATTAGTATATATAGAAGAAATTTATTATTCATTCAGACCAAATAAGATACAACACATGAGAAAGTATAGGTAATTAGGTATGTTCTTACCCATCATTTCTAATGTCTCAGGATCTGTGTACAATTGAACCTGTGGGAATCAGTGTTAGAAAAGTAGACTAAAACACATCAAAATGCATGGGGTTTTCAATAGAAGAGAAACAATCTGAAAGACAGATTTGAGAAAACTAAAAAGGAGAAACAACTAAATATCATGAAGCCCTAAGTAACCCTTTTTTTTTTTTTTTTTTTTTTTTTTATCAACTTGGCGAAATAAACGATTGTAAAAATATTAATAAAATGGTTCAAAAATCACTGAAAGTTAGTAGATCATCACCTTAACTCCTGCCCACCAATCAACTATCCACACAAGTTCAAGCCACAACAGCTCCGCCACCATTCTGTTAATCCTTCTGTATGTGTTCTTCGAAAACGGCCGAACAACCACGAAAAGTATCGCCTAAAAACCCACGATAACAATAAAACACAGTGAAATTCAACATTGGAAGATAAATGAACCTTCGTGATGACATCGATATGATAAAAAAATCCTAATTATAATTGCCGCGATCCTAGTCGAAAGGAATTACACAATTGAGCACATCTCTAGAAGAATTTAGATAACATGATCCAGAAACATTATACACACATACAAACAGAAATTAGTAACGAATGATACACCTGAATGAGATTGACGATTAGGCCGGAGACGAAGAAGAAGACGCCGAGAGGGACGATAACAGCTGCTGCTGCCACCGCCATTGCTGAAGAGCACCGTTAACAGAATCTATGTAGATTGGCAGGAGTGGGTGGGTGTATGCGATAGAGAGAGATGCAAAGAGGTTTCGGATGATTTAAAGAGGACGGAGAGAGTGATGGATATGGATTATGGAAGAAAGAGAGCTGCAATTCTTAGAAGCAGAAGATTACTGGTGTCGAAATGTACACTTTTCTATTAATGCCCCTTTAAGTTTAAAATATGCTGCATATCAAGTCCTTCATTTTTCGATTTTGTACAATAGTATACTATTTACGTTTTTGTTTTTGTTGTATATGTTTTTAATATAGGAGTAATGAATTTTACTTAACAACAAATTTATAATTAAATTATATTCGGCAATACTATTTTCTCTTTGCAAGGCTTGGATGAAAACTTCCAAGTAAAAAAAAATTAAGTAAGACTTATGTTTTTTTTATTCTTTTCGTAATGTTTTAACTAATAATATAAACTTTAATAAAGTTCTATAGTTGTTGACCAAAATGAATATAGATAAAGAAACTTATGAATTAAAGTAGCATTCTTGATCTACCAAAAACATGTAAACATACACAAACGAAAAGTCAAAATATTATGTAATTTTTAATGTTTCATTTCTTTCTCGAAATGTGCATTGTCAATTGAGATCAATAAAATCATAATAACAAAGGACATTTGATCCAACGGTATTAAGCGTTAACATAAATGTGTATCTCAACTAAATATTTATGTTCAACTCATGTTTAAAATGAAAGAGACAGATTTAAAAAATCATAATTACGTATGTGCGTGAGCTAACGTTCTTAAAAAATAAAATCATAACGACTTTTGTGTTATAGTACAAATAAATGTGCATATATATATATATTAAGATCCTAATTTTTGTTTACCATGATCCTTTTTTATATCTTCTTTAAAAAAAAAAGAACAATTCCATTGAGTTAGGTTGAAGGTTGGCATACCACTTTTACCGAACTTCTTTATTTCATTCTATAAAGAGGTCCGACATTTCTATCTGGACAATATTTTTTGTGTTATCTTAACAATTCATTTGGATCTATCAAATTTAAATGTATCATAAATTTGTGAAATTGGTTTTTAAATACTAAGACACCCGTATAAAGACCAATGTTAAGTAACACATGGCGTCTAAAACAATGAATGACCACGGAAGTTGTTAAAATTCGAAATATAGCCCAACTTAATTTATAAATTTACTTAATACACTTATTCGAGATGAAATTACATGTCATTAAGGTTTTGTCACACAATACAATATTACCTTTTGGTTTCAAATTGTTAAAAAAATTATATCAGGCTAGTTTATAACTTTAGGGCTGTGAAGTTTAGATTATTTACAAACACAAATTTACTTTATTTACGAAAATACGGGATGTGGTAGTTTGAGATACTGATTATTACTCACGTATAAAATAGCCTCACAAAATGACAAAAGCTACCCTTATTCTGATGTTTAGGTTTTCGACAAGGAAAGGAATAAACTGCTATAATATGTTAAAGCAAGGAGGCCAACTGAAAATATATACAGTTCGGCTTTTAGCAAGTAAATACTAATTTAATGGAAATAAATGCGGGCGGTGTTCACTATGAAAAGCTTTTATCCGGTGCACCAAGAAATTCAAACTCTTTATCTCAAAAATAAATACCTTTATATGTATATAGAATAAGTTACATAAATTGTTTTTATGGTTTGGTAAAATTACAGGTTGTGCCCCTCTTTCCTTTTATTCAGAAATGTTCAAAAAAGACTATCGAAGTTTTGGTTGTTTAAAAAATATCATCCAACTAAGGGTGTTGTATAAAAAATACCAATAAAGTATACATTTTGTTCACATCCCACCTTATGGTAACCGGTTCTTATGGGTTACTTGATGAGTAGGATTAAAAAATTGGTGAGTTGGCCTAAAATTAATGACATGACATTTATGTGTATTTCTTTAAATCGAATTAGGGCTTTTGCTCATAATAAGGGACGAGCACTCCTAGGTTTCTTCTCTTGCATCGTCTTCTTCTTCAGCATTTGTGATGGCTTCATCTTGTTCTGCCAAATCCACAATCTCATCCTCAAGCTCAAACGTTTCAAAGACAAATAAGATGGTTGATGATGCATACCCTTGTGGTTGTGGGTTCCCATCGCAAATTTGAACTTCAACAATTAAGAGGAATCATGGGAAATTTTTTAGGGTTTGTCCCAACCGACTGGTGAGTTATCATGCCTTTTGTATACATACTTCCTTAGTTAATGTCGTTTTCCCTCTTTGGTTGGTTAATTAATTGATTTATTTTTTCTGCATATGAAGGATCCAAAACCTACCAAATTGTTCTCTTTGGAAATGGGTTGATGACGATGAAGGACTAAGAAACAAGAATAAGAGAGATTAAACAGAAATAAAAGTAGATTCCATTGAAGTGAGGATATCAATTTTGGAAAAAGATTTCAATGAGCACAAGGGATGGCAAATAAGGAATATATTATTTTAAGTAAGGAGTTGGCACAAATGAGTAGGAAATTACGATTTCAGAAGTGGTTCATAATCATGCTTTTTGTTGTGTTTTTAATGAAATTAATGATGTGGTATATATGTTTAAGCCTTTGCAATGTACTTTTTTTTAGTATGTATGGTAAGTTGTAGTTTTACTTTGATTTTAACAATGTTTAGAAGAAATATCAATGTACTTTTAGTATATACTTGTATTGAATGATACAAAACCCTATGCAATCCCTCACAAATGGCTGTTATAACTTGTGTTATCAAGATATAGTAACGTACTTTCTTATTTAAAACAAAAAAACAACAAATTGAAAGTATGTTGCTATTTCAGAAATGGAATAAATGGTATATTCAACATACTTTCTTAACCATTTTCTACTTTTTTTTTTCATGATTTGCCCTTCTCCTTTTTTTGTTTGTTATTAAGTGAAGTCTTAGCACTTAAATGCAGTAATTATTTCACTTAATGAGAAACAAAGTTACAACAGAAGTTGGAAACAGGTAGGGATGCGCAAAAACCAAACCGAAACCGAAAAACCGAAAAAAACCGACATAACCGAAACCGAAAAACCGAAACCAAAGCAATAACCGATGGTTTAGGTTTGAATTTTTTGGTTTCGGTTTGAATTTTACAAAAACCGAAAAATAACGGTTTGGTTCGGTTTTGACGTATAAAACCGTCCATAAAAACCGAACCGACCCACATATATATTATTTATTATGTTTTAAACTTTTAGTTTTAGACTTTAGACTTTATCCCTTTAGTATTTTATGTTTATTTTCAACAAACTGTTAATGATGTTAAACTTTGATCTTTAGAAAACTTTTATGCTTTTAGAATACTAGAATCCGTACTCTTTATTTTAGTATATTTGAAGTAGATACAGTACTATTTATCGCAACGTACTTTCACTAGGTTTTGAACCCAAAAAACTAGGCAAAAAAAGGAGCTCATAAACCCACGGTCTAGAACCGAAAACCCATAAACCCAACCCGGAAAACCAAAAAACCGAACCATGCAAAAACCGAACCTATATATAGGTTTAAAAACCGAAAATCCGACTTTCTACGGTTTGGTTTGGTTTTAGCCAATAACCAACCCAAACCGACCCATGCTCATCCCTAGAAACAGGTGCAATTTCGAAACATGTGTAGTAGGGTTAGTTTGGGGTCCCTTAGTTTGATAACAGTTATGTGCAATATTGTATGAAAATGACAACTATTTTTTTAACATCACAATTCATGATCATAATGAAGCTTCCATTAACAAGGGATTGTATCAGATCAAAGTAAAAAACGAATAAGGGCAGTTTGGTCCAAACTTTTAAAATCACTACTTTTTTTACCAACAAAATAGTATATAGGGCCAGTTTGGTAAAAAAAAACTATTAAAATCTATACTTTTTTAACCATACAACGGAATATAAAACATTAGATGTACAAACAATTTAAAGGGAATAAACAGTAAATGATATGAGTTATTGTCACTGTAGCGCAACAAACTTCTCATTTTTGTTTTAAAAGGTCCCTAATATATATTTTTTTAGCTTTCTAAGGGTATAAAGTCTTTATTAACCTGCTAAAAAGGTCATTGAACTTTTTTTTGTCCGGTTTCACCGGTAAAATAAGATGACGTGGCTATATCAAAATTTGTTATATAGACTTTAACCTTAAAAAACACCGTTCTTTTTTTTTTCTTTCTTTTTCCTATCTTCCCCGGCTTTTCTGGTTGCCTTACATCTTCTCCATCCCATTCTGCTACTTCGTCAGACGATCTAAAGACCGGCCCGCGCTCCAGTCGATTGACTCTGCGCTGCCGTTTGTTTTTTCCCGCTGCTATCTCGCCACCTCAACACCGGCGCTGCTATCTAATTCCCAACTTTTTCTTTAATTTTATCATTATATTTTAAAATTGTTGTTAATGTGAAACCTGGTTTGGTAATTTATTGGGCTTGTTCATCTTTTCTTACATTGTAGTACGGATTTGGATAAAGTATGAGTAGTAATTGTGAAGCCTAATGTTTGTACATAATTCGTTATGTATATATGAGTTTGGTGTAATATTTGGTATGAAAACATCAATGGTGGGAGAAGGACGAGTTACCTACTTCTGGTTTTGCATCGTTGTACTTTCTACATTGGTCACTTGTACTCTGAACACATGCCATAATCACATGCCACTTCGCAGTTTTAGCCAATGCTTAAGAGGTAGCTAAACCTAAACCAGATGCAGTTCAGGTGGTTATAACACTGCTTTTTTTCTCAATGTTTTCTTCCCCTTCGATGATACACTGTTCACTGCAGACACCTAAGTCGTGGTGGCTACAACTTGGTTCTAAACACTTTTCTTCTAAATTCTTGAAAAAAATCTAATGTTACGTCTTGCGATATCGAAACATTGATTTGTTTAGATTAATTATTAGATTACACTATACTTTGTTTTGTGTTCTTGATGTTGATGAGCTGAAATCGACTTGACTGTGGTTGGGAAGTGAAACTCTGAAGAGGATTGAATCCTTAAAAGATACAGTTGGTTTTATGAGATTGTGAACAAAGAAAGAGGTTGTTAATCTTGAAGAAATTTGATGTTGGTTTGAGAGAGAATTAAATATTGATGTTGGTGAATCTTAAAGT